TCACTGTAAATTAACATTCCTCCAAATCCCTCCCTTCAGCCCTGGAGCACTGGGTCTGCATTTCTTTGTTTAACAGTCTGGAAGTCATTTGTAAATGTAAAAAAATATATATTTTTTTGGTAACTGTTTTAAATGAAGATTCCGAACTACAGCACGAAAGTGCCATCATCGCATTGGAGAAGACAGTAACTCCTTGTGGTCTTTGGTGGTTCTTCTCCCCACCCCCGTCTCCCCCACCCCCATCTCCCCCAGACTGCCCATCCTGCAAGGGGGCACCTTCACCATGCTAGCCCCATCCCTGGCCATGCTGTCCATGCCCGAGAGGACCTGCCCCGCCTGGACACAGAACGCCTCTATGGTCAACGTCTCCTCGCCGGTCTTCATTGAGGTCTGGCAAAGCCGCATGAGGGAGGTCAGAAGCCATCCAGTCATTCCATTTCCAAATGAGGTCTCCTAAGATACAGGATGCACCTCAAACACTCTCATTATCATTCACCGCCAGCTGCTCAAACAACAACATCAGATATAAGATCACAGTTCATATCCAGGGTTCAGTTACACGTACAGTACAGTACTGTGCAAAGTCTGAAGCAGTCAAAGAAAATTATGTTTAAATGATCTTCACATTGGTGCAAAAATATGATGTTACTTCAGTCAAAGTGTGTCAGCTTAGCCATTTCAAAACCTCTCCTAAAGTCACCTCAGTATTTGCAGCCACCGTCCAACACGCTCACATATTTTTTTAACTCAACCACTGCCCCATCTCCTATGGCTAATCCATACCTCATTGACTTTTTAAATTATTTTAATTGATTAATTAAGTGAGCTGGTTGTGAAACAGCAAATACATGGAATGGTTGGGGTGCCCGTGAGGAGAGGAACGGGAACTGCAGCGGTGTTCTTCAAGTCAACGAGATATCACTATTTTGGGGAACAAAACGTTGTTAGTTTTTATTGTGCTACTATTAATTTGCACATGTTCTAATGTTATACTGTGTTTTTCTTTCTGAGAAAATACAGTATACACCTGCTACCCAGATAAATAGCTTTAAACTGTTTTTTGATTGCCTATGATTTTTACACAATACTGTACATTTCATGCTTATAGTTTGTTAGTTGACTGAGTGCAGTTTTAATTTTTCTTTAATGACCTATAATTATAACTTCATTGTAATTTATGTATGTCATCCATCCATCATCATCCATCCACCCATCCATCCATCCATCCATAGATCCATCATCCATTCATACATCCTTCTATCCATGCATCCTTCCATCATCCATCCATCCATCCATCCATGCATCCATCCATCCATTTTCAATATATTTAATTGTAAATCACTTTGGACCAAAGCATCTGACAATGATTTTACATTATTCTAGACATATGAAATCTTTCTTTACGTGCCATTTTTCAAAATCATGGTCTTTATTATAGATAAAAGGCGACAAAAAAAAATATCAGCAATTTGATGATGCAGTACCTTCCTACACTGAGGGTCAGTGTTTGAAACCTCATTCTCTCCTCCTGTATGTAGCTGCAGGGTTCCATCATGGTGGGATCCTGCTTCCAAATCCTGGTCGGCTTCTCTGGCCTCATCGGGTTCTTTATGAAGTTCATTGGGCCGCTCACCATTGCACCCACCATCTCCCTGATCGGGCTCTCCCTGTTCGACTCGGCTGGCATGAGCGCGGGGAATCACTGGGGTGTTGCGGCTATGTGAGTTTGCCTCCACTGCCCCGAGAGACACACACACGTGCGGCATGCTGACCTTAAAAGGAGCCAGCGCCACTGGCTGTCTTCTAAACACTTTTTCGATTCCTCCTGCAGGACGACGGTTCTGATTGTCATGTTCTCCCAGTACCTCCGTCACATGACTGTCCCAGTTCCTGCATACAGCAAGACCAGAAAGTTCCACTCCTCCAGGATGTACATATTTCAGATTTTACCTGTAAGCCAAACTGCCAAGAATGTGCACACATGCTAATACATGCTAACACCTAGCTTTCAGTAAGAAAGAGTGCATGACTGGAAATAGGAAGTGTAGTCCAAAGCCGGTTGGTTGCATTGAAATCATATCGGTTAGATAAGAAGGTTCCGGGGTCTCGTCTTTGCCTTTTGGACTGCAGGTGCTCCTGGGAATCACACTGTCCTGGCTCGTCTGCTACCTTTTGACCATCTACGACATCCTGCCCTTGGATCCAAAGGAGTACGGCTACCAAGCCCGCACAGACCTTAAGGGTGATGTCATCGCCCAAGCCCCCTGGTTCAGGTTCCCCTACCCAGGTAAGGGGGCCAGTAATCCCCCTAGATTTGTCTAATTCAGTATTTCAGGGTATTGGTGTGAGATGTTCGGTCAGTCTTTTCAAGGAATGCCGAAGATCATGAAAGATGTAGAATCGTTTTTCGGGTTCCTTTGCCAAGATAACAGAGATCAGCTAAACATGCAAACTAAAAATGCTACATTGCTGTTGCTTATGCCCCAGGTCAATGGGGCATGCCTACTGTGAGCCTGGCAGGGGTTTGTGGAATCCTGGCAGGGGTCACGTCCTCCATGGTAGAGTCTGTGGGTGACTACCACGCCTGTGCCAGGCTGTCGGGGGCCCCACCTCCTCCTAGGCATGCCATCAATCGGGGAGTCGGCATCGAGGGGGTGGGCTGTCTGCTGGCTGGGGCCTGGGGCACAGGCAATGGGACCACTTCCTACAGCGAGAATGTTGGTGCGCTGGGCATCACCAAGGTAAGTCAGGGGAAGGGGGGTGGTGCAGTCTGGTGCCCCGTTTTCTTCATGGGACAGAAGAAATCAAGGGCTTGGGTCTCATGCACAGGTGGGCAGCCGCATGGTGATTGTGGCCAGCGGAGTCCTGATGGTTCTGATGGGGATGTTTGGGAAAATTGGAGCCATCTTCACCACACTCCCAACACCTGTCATTGGAGGAATGTTCCTGGTGATGTTTGGAGTGATATCTGCGGCTGGAGTTGCAAATCTGCAGGTAGGAGCAGACTATCAGGGTATGGCATAAGCAAATACCACCACTGAACCTTTTACAAACTCACTAAAGCATAATAGGAATCAGTAGCAGCAGAAGTATGATACACAAGTACTTGAAATTTGTCTTGGTGCCTTTGATCCCACTTAACCTTAAAACCTTGATGCAGTTGATTGTGAAGACAACAGGTGGAATTCTGCCAAATTATCTGAATAATATTGCATAAAGATATTACAAATAAAAACAACAAAACACTGTGGCATCTTTAAACTCTGCGGACATCTTTACACTTTTTCTTGTTAGGGACTTTGTACCTTTCTCACCATTACGGTGGAACATAATGATACATAATGATCATGTGGAAAATGTGGACAGATATATTTGCTATATTTATAATGAGCTACTGGGCTGGTGTGGAGACTTGTTAGTTGAACCTATTCATGGCTTTGTTTCACCAGTACGCAGATATGAATTCCTCGCGGAACATCTTCATTTTTGGATTTTCTGTGTTCACTGGATTGGTTATTCCTAACTGGATACTCAAGAACCCAACCTCCATAGCAACAGGTAGGAGCCAGAAGAAAGGCCAAAATGAGTGACCTGGAACAACAGTACCAGGTATCAGAAAGGACAGGGACCTTAGCACTGTGGTAAAGCTCAATGCAACTTGTCTACTGAGAAGTCAGGTCAGAAAGGTGAGTTTCAGGAGCCTCCAATATTGTTGGATTTGGCACAAGTACCTCTGGATGTTTCTCAATATCAAGAATGCAAAGATCGTACTTGTGGTCTTGGCAAGAGAAGTTTTGCTAAATCCCCTCCCAAGAACGAACTTGGGGTGCAATGAATCATGGGACTGGTCACGTTTGGCGAGGATGCAACTGATGTAAACTTGATATTTGGGGTGGGGCAAGAACGACATCCGGGGATTTTTACCGTTCTTTGTGCTTCTGTTCTTAGTATTCGGAACTGGTCCTTGGCAATGGAATACGATGTAAAACGGGTACGCGAGAACACAAATGTAATCAAGTACAAATATTGGGAAACACTCTCTGTCTTCTGCTCTCAGGGGTCAATGAGCTGGACCAGGTTCTCCAGGTACTGCTGAACACCAGTATGTTTGTCGGGGGCTTTTTTGGATTTGTCCTGGACAACACCATCCCAGGTGAGCCATCACACATTCAAGAAGGTAAAATGTAATAGCACTTCTGCAGTCAATGACTTGTGGGAGTTGTGGGCTCTCATCGACTCCTGTTGGGTTTCTCAGGGTCTAAGCATGAGCGAGGTCTTGTAGCGTGGAACGAGGCACACCAGGAGATTGAAGGCGATGTGCCGGAGACCAGCGAGGTGTACAATCTACCCTTCGGTCTCAGCTCCCGCTTCTTGTCGTTCTCCTGGGTGTGGTGTCTGCCTTTCTGCCCTCCAGTTGGACGGGAGCAGGGCCCCCTGGGAGACAAAGAAGATGTGACAAAGCCTGGTCTCACACAGACCCAGGCAAGTGGCTGTCAGTGACTGACTCCTGACCTGAGTTTACAAAGTCTTGGACCCGTCATTGTGGGCCTGCACACTCTCCTGTCCATAATTCTAACACATACCCCTTGCTAATCTATTACTTATTGTTTTATCAAAATTTTGTCTAAACAGATTTTTTCATCAGATTGGTTTCATTTTATATATGAAAGGACCTTTGCATGTTTATGCAAAAATTCTATTTAAAGTAGAAATAAATGAGTCAGACCACATTATTTTCATTTGACTTTTTGGGGCCAATAATAATTTTATTTGGTGTCCACAAATGTTTTATGTACTTTCTGCATTTTAAGTGAATGATCTAACAGATCATAAAAGTTTAAATAAAACCATATTTTAACCATTAAAATAGTTGAAATTCCCTACATTTTTTGTGTGAAGTTACGGCATCTGTCATTTTAATACTTAATGGAAATTGTGATGTTTGTAATTTAAAATGCACTCGTTTTGCCACGTGCTGGACCAGGAGGAAACCGTGTTATGTGTACAAAATAAAATTATGAGCGTGGAGTTATTTCAGGCACTGAGATAAAATTGGCTTTGAAGCTGAGCGTGACCCTGTTAATATAGTCATTTCTGTTGTTTTTTGCCTGGTCAAAGCGAGCACTTGTAACTCATAATTGCTGGATGCAGTGTTACATGGTGAACAGTAGAGCTCAGGCGTGCTAAGCAGCACTCCTCAGATCTTTCTTCACAGTTTTATAAAGGTTCACAAAAGACTCTGCCCAGGCATCCCTCTGGTGGCCTGCGGTGTTGGCCATCCTGTAGGCCGTGTGTACCAAGGTCAGCACGACATGTTCAAAGTCCACCCTGCAGAGAGATCCAGGGAGCTGAGACAGGGCAGAAGTCAGGCGCTGGATGTCGGCCAGCTTTGTGGGCAGGACGTTCCTACTGACATCTTCCAGCCTGCGGGTGAGTCGCATGGAGGCCAGCTCTTCATCCTGCACGCAGAAAGGTGTGCACTCCTCTCCCACCTCCAGCCCCTCCAGCAGGATCTGGGACAGAGTGCACAGGCTGAATTCCCCATGGGTAGTGACCAATCAAATCACACAGCCTTCCATTATTGAAGCTTTGACTCAAAGAGCTCTTTATGAATTGTTCATATGACAGAGGTGCAGCACATACCGCCCTCTACCAGCCTGGGGTGTGAACGCACATGCTGAAAAGTAGGAGCAGAAGTGACAAAAACTCTATGTTCACAGAGGCTACTGTCCTCATGCATGCAGCACAGACAAGCACTCCTCAGTGCTCCTGGTCTGCAAGCAGCTCAGAATGTCTCAAGTAGCTCAACTCTTTGCAACTAATCACAGGCCAACTTGCAGTGGACTGGTGAATACATGGTACAGAACTGGTAGCACTGGGGAACAGACTAAACTTATAGTCAGATATAGTGAAGGAAAGGAAACATGTTTGGAAATACTTGATAGTGTTCATTTGTGATCTTTCGTATACATTTCACTTTGGCTTCAGTGTTAACATTACAGAATATTCATCAACCTTTTCTTTTAAATTACATTCAGTTGTTGAACATATAGGCCACAGGCTGTAGTAAAACACAGATAGCTGATTATAAGACTCCAAATATATCACTTAAAAAAATTAATACTGGTGACTGTCAATGATGCTCCCTACCTTATAAAAAGTGATTCTTTGAAATAGCCCCAGATCTAATTAAATGAACTATAATAACTTTAAATTAGATATGTATCGATCGAGCAGATGGAGCAGCTCAGTCTGATTCTAAAGCTTGTATTTTGAGTATACTGATTAGAGGGGACTACACACAGACAGTACAACTTCCAATGTTCTTCCAACCCCATGATTAATGTTCTTGATAATCTCACCTCAAAAAATAGGTTGGCATCCGCTATGGAGTTCAGAATAGAGGAGTTCACCGTGGATGGGAACAGAGCTGAAAGACAGTTTGAAATTAAGTTTAGTGTCAAAGTTCACTTTCATGATAATGAGAATAATTCAGCAAAATGTCGGTCACCAGTCAATTGCAGCTGATGCTCACATGACTGTGAATTCTGGTGGGTTTCTGTAGTGATATAGACAAACGCAGATGTGCTCCAGGGAAAAGTCTAAAGCCATAGACCCAATGAATAGCTTCATTTCATGACTGAAGGTGGCACAGACCAATAGTTGAAGGGGGGGGGGGGGGGGGCGGCGCATTTCGAAGCTGTGAACCACATATGCGGCGAGCAGCTAATGAGGAATGTCTGGCGATCGTAAAAAGATGAAGGAAAGAGAAACATTTCTGTGAATCCAGCTTGACCCTTTGTTTTTGTGAAGAGTGTTTAAACTAAAACAATGTGTCTGGCTGGACAAAAGTGCGGGGGGGGGGGGGGGTGTGTCTAGCCTTGGTTCTCAAAGGTCAAGATTAGCATGTTGACACTTAACGGCACAGGTGAGATGACTCTGTAATCGTTATAAGGTCCCTAAACTGGATCTTCATGGCGCCTTTCTTATGTCAGAACAATCCCAGATGTAGTCAACAGGAAATGGAGCAAGGACTCAGCCAAAGACGAACAATGCAATTTTTGCACAGTATGTGTGTGCATTGCAATGGACTGGTGTCCCCTGCTTCCTGACAGCCTTGTACTGGAAAATCTACTGGAAGATGGAAATTTGGATGAATGGATGGATGCAATTTAAGCTGTCTTGAAGACCAAAGAACAAAATTAAGCAAGAGAGACAACTAATTTTAGGAAACATTTGATAAAAGATTAATATTCCTGATGTTAAAAAATTGAAAATCGCAGTCTGGCTTATCTAATTTGTAAACAATACAAGTATTTTCAGCTGAAATGTCCTCTTAGCCATGACAGGGAGCTGAATCTAGTTCTGGCTGGTTGGCTGATGTTGCCTTTTAAGAAAGATAAACTTCAGCACGGGAAACATAAATAAAGCCGGACATCATCACACATCTTCACGCATCATCTTCCAATCCCCTTTCCTGGTCAGGATCTTAGGATATTAGACTTCGATTAAAATGTAAATGAATATTACACGCTAGAAAACCAGTGTCATGCTGTTCTTCTCACCTGCCAAGAACGACGTGGAGTTAATTTAACGGCTATGACATTGTTTAGCGTGCGATTTGCTACAGTAATGTGAAGGAGAAAGTGAAAGGAAAACTTAAGCCTTATTCTAAGCAGGAAAAACAACAAAACGCACATGCTGCGTTCCTGAGGGACTCCGAAAGCAAAGTGTTTACGCCTCGAACTAGCAGAGCTATTTAATGCTCAGTGTCTGTGATAACAACCACAAGTGGGTGTGGTGTATTTGTGAGAAATACTGGATATTTATGGCAGAAACTCAACAGACGCGACAGCAAACTTAAAAACATAATACGCAACAGCGCTATATTGCATTTCGGGCTAAGAGTAACCCAAAAATAACACGAGACTGATCTGGTTTCTGATCAGATTGTATCCTGGATGCCATTGATCAGATTAATTGCTGTGAATATGGCAAGTCACACAGTGTTTTTCAGTGATATTAAGCTTTCAAACAGACATACTGACATTGACCAGATGAATTACAATTTCAGGGGGCATTATTTTTTAAATTCTACAGTAAAATATCTTAAAACTCTGGATGTAGTAATGGTAATCATTGATGTATCAGATGGTATTAAGCTTTCGAACAGATGTCATCATGGAACAGAATTATCATTGTAAAGATGTTTTTTTTTGTCAAAAGTTTTCATGCGGTCAGCAGGCGGAAGCCTTTCTGAGAACTGGAAGCAGAACCGGGATGGAGGACAGCAACAAAGAACGATGAAAAGACCAATAAACCCAGTCTGAAAGGTACTATTCAAGAGCACTGGTAATGACCTCAGGACATCAAGGAGTCAAAAATAACAAGCATTACATGGCTGGTGCCGCCTGGCGACCCGCCACCCGGGTCGCTCAGAACCCGCGTGTTTCTCTTCTTTGCCGGGGAGGGACCTGCTCTGTGACTTTCCCTTCTCGACTCCTCTCCTGTCAGTCACCATCTGGCTGCACATCACATTCTGGAAATTCCTGGACCCTTCCTATGGCATGTGAGCAGTATTCCTACCATAGTCACATTTGAGAGATAGTCATGCATATTGCAGGTTCCCTAATGTTCTGTTGCTACAGTAATAAATCAGACTAATATTATCATGATGCTAAATATTAAAAAAAAAAAAGAAAAAATGAGTCACATATTACATTATTTTAAAACTACTTGTATGTCCATAGAAGGGAATATTTAGCCAGGGACTTTATCTGATCACCTCGAAATAACATCAATATAATCAATATTATATTCTGCATTCTTTCTGCAACAAAAGACGCAAAGTGTTAGTGGCTCACTTGTGTTTAACCATGCATGCTGTTTACAGCAGGTGTCCTGCCTCTTACTTCAATAGCTCTTGATTACCACCCTCCCCCCCGACCTAAATGTCTTGCCATTAATCAACCCAAAGAGTGCATCTGGTGCCTTTAGACAGCCCCGTGAATAGCTTCGAATTCCAGCTGAGTGTGACTTAAGAGAGCATATGTTTCAGGTCATTACAGGACATCATTTCTGTGCATGAATATAAAATATTACTTATGCCATTTAGATGAATAAGTTTACTTCAAAGTACTCCCAGTCCTAACTTTTCTGGAATGACTTCACTGCTAATAAACATACAAAACAATGACCATTATTATTTTCACTTCTGGTATTAAACGTCCCCCTACCTTTGTTATGGCACTGAGTATCACTTGCGTAGATATTGTGCGATAGAAGTGCAACAATCACCATCCTCCAGCCCATCATGGTCAGCCTGCAGCCAGAAGTGAGCGCCTGACTTTCTGCCCCTCACACGGCTAGACCTCAGAGCCCAGATCCTGCACTCAGTGAAGAATCACGTGCTCGTAACAATAAACTGCGGCTCTCGGTTCAGGCGCCGTCCTGCTATGGGGTGTTCACTCTGTTTTCTCATTTCTCTTCCCCTCCCTTGGTCTATCCGTCTCCCTCTTTCGCTCATGTGACTCAGTGTCACGGTGTCCATCTGGAACTCATCACGCCGCAGAAGCACTCTGGCTGCTGTGCGCCTCTGGCTTCCTGCTGGTGCTCGTTAGAAGCTTCTACATTTTACCTTTAGCATCCACGCTATTACTGATGCTGTCAGCAGAATTAGCATCCTCAGTCTCACTGCGCAGTGGTTAAAGGAGGTAGTGTCAACTCCCCTGTTCTAAAACCCTATATTCCAAAAAGGTGTGAACTCTCGGTACAAGCAGGATGTCTTCTGTGGGGAGTGATTATTCCACCAGCCTTAAGAAAAAGACTGAAAGAATGACTACGTATGAAAGAGCTTACTGGAAGCTACTTCTGGTGGCCCGGATTAGATACACAAATTGAAGAGACCGCAAGAACATGCCCATCATGCCAAACCAACCACTGTATGCCACAGCCAGCCCCTCTGCATCCGTGGAACTGGCCAGAAGAGCCGTGGCAACGCGTCCACATTGATTTTGTTGGCCCCCTTGAAGATCAAATGTTTCTGGTGGCAGTTGATGCACACAGTAAATGGCCAGAGGTATTCATCATGAGATCTTCTACTACTGAGAAAACCATTGAGAAGCTAGGCAAAATGTTTAGCCGTTGTGGCTTTCCCGAGCAGCTTGTGAGCAATTATGGCCCGCAGTTTGTGTCACTGGAGATTGGAAGGTTTCTCGAGCTGAACGGAGTTCAACACATCCGCTTGCAATCCACAACTTCATTATCTTATAGAAATGTTGCACATTCAACTACAAAAGAGGCACCTCCCACACTTCTTCTGAACAGACAGCTTCGCACAAACCTTGGTCTGCTGAAACCACCAAAGACTAAGAAGACAGTGCCCCAGAAACGACGGGCGCAGATTGAGAGACATGGACAAACAGCAAGAGAGCGGGTTTTACTAGGGCACAGCTATAGTCATGAACCAAAATGGGTGCCAGCCACAGTCATGGCGCACACAGGTCCCGTGTCAAAATCACAGAGGACATTGTCTGGAAACGGCATAGCGACCAGCTGTTTCCGGAGTCTTGCCTTCCACAGGAAGCTTCAGTAGTGAGCGGAGGCGGTCATGGGCCCCTTGAGCTGTGTCACCCAACCATGCACTCTATATACAGTGGCTCAGTCAATGTAACTGTAAATTCACCTTCAGAGTGAGGGTTTGAATTCCATGCCCAGCTGTGTGTGTTTTTAATCTGCCCTTTCTGTGTGAGTGAGTGTCCTGTAATGGACAGGTATCCCATCAATCCTGTGCCCTGTCTTGTACCCTGTGCTTCTGGGAAAAAGCTTCAGACTCACCTTCATACTGTACTGGATTACTTAACACTATCAAAAACTCAAAAAATAATATGTAAACAGGTAAATAAAAAAACACAGAGATGCAGGACAGCTCAGGTCTTGATTTTTTTATTTTATTGTAGGAGTAGGATATACGTCCTCTCCTGGAGCTGACTCCTTATGGTGGTGGAGGGGTTTGCGTGTTCCAAGGATCCCAGGAGATAAGTTGCCCAGACTATGTCTCTGGGCTGGCCTGGGAACGCCTCTGGATTCCACCGAAGGAGCTGGACAAAGTGGCCGGGGAGAGGGAAGTCTGGATTTCCCTGCTTAGTCTGCTGTCCCCGTGACCCGACTCGGACAAGTGGTAGAGGATGGATGGGTGAATGGGTAGGATACGTGGGCGGTGGGCGTTGTTGTGGAGGTTACCCATTAGGCATGCTGTTGGAGGTGGATGGATCTTCCTCCCCCTGATTGGCCAGCAAGGGTTTGCGAGGGGCAGCATAGCGTATGATGCAGGGATGGGCAGGTACTACGCAACATCTGACGGTTGCGCGGGATATGCCAATGTCTTGAGCTCGGTACCAATTGCCTGTCCCTGCATCATAGCATTCTACTGTCGTGATGGTTACAAACCCATCTTGGCCGCCCACCACGAAGATCTGGTCATCAACCACCTCAATGCCGAAATTACACCGTCTGTTGAACATGGGTGCCACAGCATGCCAGTGATTGGACAATGGGTCGTAGACTTCCACGCTCCGCAGGCACTCGAACCTGTCTGTACCGCCCACCTGGGAGATGACAAAAGCAAGTGATCACTTGGATACCAAAGGGGTGGGCAAACATCAACTTTCACAAAGTCGTGAACTCCTTGCTTCTGGACTTTTAAGCTTAAGAAACCAGAGGGCTCATTTATAAAGGGTTCATATGAATTTATAAAGGGTTCAAATGAACAAAAAAGATGAGAAACATTCGTACATACATTTATATCAAGATTTTAGGACTTATAAAGAAGAAACTTATCCTGAAAAAGTCTGCACATATACGAATGGTCCAGAGGAGTCATACAAACGTTTTGGAGGAAACAAAACAAACCAACATGCAGAGTTCAGAGAGAAATGTACTTCTATTTATGGTTAGTTTTAGGGTTTGGAGAAACGTGTGTTGATAAACACAGAAACATTTTTATTTTATCTGATATAAAACTAACATTCAACATATATTTTATTGTTTTTATTGAACTACTTCAGATATAGCTATATATTTACTGGGTACAGTCTAAGTTTGAGGTGTGTACTGAACGGCACCAACACGTGTGAACCAGCATGTAATAGGTATAAAAAAGTGTAAGAATGCCACACACAGCATCAACATGGCATATCTAGCTTTGTTAGAAGTGATGCATGACCAAATATGACAGGATAGAGTATTTTGAGATCACAAAGTACACTATATGATGCTGGGGAGTGCAGGCACTACGCAGTAGCTGAGGGAGCCGCGGGGTAAGCCCATGTCCTGGGCACAGTACCACCCGCCTGTCTCCGCATCATAGCACTCCACTCATAGCAACAAAGGCAAATTACCATGAATCTCACAGGAAAAACATGAGACTTGACACCTAAGGTTCAAGGTACAACAAAGGAGTCACTCACCGCATAGATTCTCCCATGATGTGCTATGACCCCAACACCATGCCGGGGTGTTCTCATAGGAGCAATCATGCTCCATCGGTTGGTGATGGGGTCATAGCACTCAACAGTGGCGAGGCACTCAGCGCCATTAAAGCCCCCACAGATGTATATCTAGGAAAAACAAGTATAAAGGTGAAGACTCATGCTGTACCTGACCGGCGATGAAGAGCTGAAAAGAGTAAATGTACAGCTAAATCCCACCGTCTTTCATAAAAGTTTATCCATTACAGGGTCATGGTGAACCTGGAGGCTACCCCAGGAGGCATAAGCAAGGGGATTTTATGTGCCAGTTTGCCTATCTCATAAGTCTTAGACTGTGGGAGCCAGGTTAGGTATCAGTGTCTACAGTTAACCTATGGCAGCACAGTGCTACCCAAAGTGCCAGTAATGCAGACCAATACTGCAAAGTCATGTAAGTTTCATCCAAAATCTTAAGGCCAATGAACATATCAATTGTAGACTGAAATCTCGAATTTGAAGAGCTACCGAATGTGTAAAATAATAAATTTCATGAGGAAAATGAGGGTAAACACACCCAGGTGCCCCCCGCCATTGACCCACCTTGCCATGGAGGGTGGCAGCACTGGCGTCGCTTCTTTCCGCGTTCATGGGCTGGATGAAGCTCCATCTATCGGTCTCAGGATCGTACCTTTCGACCGTGTTGAGGCGTCCGTCGGCATTACGGCCGCCCATGACATAGATGGAGCCATCCAGCACAGTCACAGCGGAATAGCAGCGGCGCGACTGCATCGGGGCCACAGTGTGCCAAGTCCGTGCGATGGGGTCGAACTTGTGCACACTGTCCAAGCAGGCACCACCATCACACCCCCCGATGCAGTATACAAACCCCTTGAGGTACACCATGCCATGGTGGGCCCGGGGTTTGTCACCCTGCTGCGTCACATTTACCCAGCGGTCGGCTCTCGAATCATACGCCTCGATCACATTGCTTGGCCGGTCATTCCAGCCACCAATGGCCAGCAAGATGTCAGCGGGCAGGCGTGGGCGGACCAGCGGGTGCTCAAAGTCCGATTGTGGGGGACCATTAATGTCCAGGTCACACATGACCTTCAAAGTGTCATTAAAAATGGGCCTGCACTCCTCATTGCCCTTCACTAGGTCATGTTTCATGACATACTTGATGAAGTATTTTCCGTCCATGCGAGCCATTCGCACCTACACAGGAAACCAGATGGATAGAGATCCCATGAGTTTCAGATATGTGAGTTAACATTGGGTAAGACATTTGAGTATGTCGTGCTTTCTGTTAATTTGTTTGTTAGACTGCACTGCCAGTTGTAATACTTGGAAGTCGAAGTTGTAGACTTATGGAACATGGAAATGGAGGTTTAGTCTCTAGCTACAGCAATGAGGATTGGGGAATTCACTGAATTAGCGTTCTATTCTTATGTCCACATGTCAGTGAGAACATTGCATAATTATAGTCACCTTAGGCAACAGCACAGAAATGTGGGCCTTGCGGCTGGCAGGCTCATGGAAGATCCAGCGCAGGACGGCGTCAAAGACCACTTCCTCCTGTTCTACCCTGAGCTCATCCTTCTCAATGACCTCACAGAGCTGGTGCAGGGTGAGCTTCAGGAACTCCTCGGAGGTGCTGGCGACCTCCGTGAAGTTTTCCAGGAGAAAGTGGAAGGCAGACTGGCGCAGCTCGGGGAGGCAATAGCTGTCGGCGGTGCTATAAATGCCAACGCAGTTACTGACGCAGAGCTGGACGGTCAGGAAGTCACTGCAGTGCTGTACAATGCCCGGGATGTTTAATTGATCACCGGCCGCCAGGAGGCTCTCCACGTTATCGACCGTGATGAGTACAGAGTGGGTGTAGGCATACTCTATCACCAGGTTCATCCCTTCTGGGGACACGCCTGGGATGTTGTATTTGCCCTTCCCCTTGACATCCCAGTCACTGGTGAAGAGAGCTCTGAAAAATAAAGACATGACTTATTTAAATATGGGTTTTGCAGATGTGGTCCCCTTTTTACATTATCACACAATTATTATACTTATGATATGCTAAAATTTAATATGTGTATACTTACTAACAAACTGTAGCCTGGAAATATATTTTACACAGTACTACGACAGTAAAACACGGTAATTAATTAAAGAAGCTTTCAAAGTCAATTCTAAAGAGAAACATCTCATTCCTTGCCCTTTTGGCATCATTAGCCTATATGGGTCACAGCTACTCACCTGAAATAGGTGCTGCAGCCACACAAAATAATTTTGTGGGCTTCAAATTCAACACCATCCGCAACAAGAACCACATCACAGAGCGCTCCCGTAAGACGCAGCTCGTTGAAAATGTGGAAAGTTGGAGCCATCATTTCGCGCTCCATGGTGTAGCTCTTCGTTGTTGCAGAAGTGTGTGACTCCTCCATTGCTCTTGGGTGTTTTTCTCCGAAATGACTAGCAACAGACGTGTACGTTAATTTATACTGTAATAGTGACGACAGTTGTCGTGTTGCTAGTTATAGAATGCAAACGCTTTTACGTCAAAATGTTTCAAGATATTTTGTTTACTTTTAAATCTTCTTTTGTGTTACACAACTGATCGAATAAAAACGATTTTACTTGTACATTCAGCTGTACAAGTTGTACAATCGAAACATTTTTAAAAACAGATTTACTAAACGTATGCACTTGATCCTCCAGCATCGCGACTTTCCCATCGCGGGGTCGTCCATATATAAATAAAATATATGTAGTGTTGGTTTGGATGACGCCAAGAGTGTTTACTACAGCCTCTAATATGACCTGTCCCAGTGATCTTTGTATCTAGCGTTAATAGTTGTATCCTGTCGCTTTGCCAAGGGGAACAACATTTCTTACGCGGTTCTTCCGGATCGCGTTGAGCTTGCGCCCATAACCCCCGCGATGTGGAAAGGTCGGCTGTACGGTGTTTGTCCCAGGATTTTATTTTGTATTATATATGAATAGTGAAATCACA